TATAAGGATGTCAACTTTCAACATTTTTTATTTAAGGATATCAACTTTCAACTTTTTCTATTTAAGGATTAATTGAATAGTGATGTTGACGTGGCTAACATATTTTTTTAGGTTAAATATTTTAATTGGTCCCTCAACTTTTATTTTTGAACCAATTCATCCTTAAAGTTCAAAAAGTATCAAAAATGTCTTTTAACTTCAATTTTCAATTTCGTCTTTCTGTCAGTTAAATGTTGATGTAACTAATTTTTTTGTTAAGTGATTGACTATTTTACATTTTCAATATTAGGTGGAAAATTCATCATATAAAAGATGATCATATGGATTTTTTAAATTTTAAATAATTTACAAACTACTTTAATTTTTAATTTTACTTTATTTATATTTAAAAATTAAAACAATTAATATATTTTCCCATTTAATTAGTCCCACCTACCATTTAATAAAATTAAAAAAATTTTAATTAATTCTTCCATGAATTAGGAAATAATTTTAGTAATTGAAAATTAAAGTTGAAGGATGTTTTTGGTACTTTCTAAAGTTTAAGGATGAATTGGTTCAAAAATAAAAGTTGAGGGACCAATTTAGGTATTTAATCTAAAAAATATGTTAGCTACGTCAACATCACTATTCAATTAATCCTTAAATAGAAAAAGTTAAAAATTGATATTCTTAAATAGAAAACTAGTTAATACCCTGGGCATCGCCCGGGCCGTGAAATGAAAAAAAATATATATTTACAATTTTAATATAAACTAATATATTAATAAAAAATAATTAATAAAATATTATTAAAATACATATATAATGTTATATAAGATTAGTAATATTTTTTTATTAGCAAAAAATTTTTTATCAAAGAGGTGCAAAGAGTACCTCAAATATGTTTATAAAACTTTTATAAAATAAAACTAAAATTTACCTCAAATATGCTTGATGACTTTTTAACAGTAAAAGAAGTGTATACATGTCTATTGGCATGTAATTGCCAAGAACACTTGAGAAAAGTTACATTCCACTAAGAGTTGTTCGCACTTCAAATGGATTATCTTGCAACTTAGTGGAGAACTAAGTTCATCTTGCCATTTCCATCTTTGTCACCAAATGGTAAAAGAGGAAAGGAAGTTGAGAGTTCATGAGAGCTGCAGAATGCTAGGGTTTGAAGAATTCAAGAGGGTTCCTAATTCTTCAATACAATTTACCAATCTTGTGAAAAAGGCCTGTAGCAAGACAAAGGAAGTAAAGTGATTTGCATGCTTTATGTACAAGGTAACAGTATCCATATTGCTTCCTTGGATCAAGAAAGAAAAAATGATGTGCCACACTGGAGAAATCCCAATCATAACATCGAACACTTAAATAATTAACATCAATCATATTAGACACGCTTGAACAGTAATGAAATTAAAATGTTGCATCAGCTGCTGCAGAGATATCTAAAAGCAAAATGAAACATATACAACTAACTACTCAAATAGGATCAGACCTTGCATTTTGGCCAGGTACATCACAAAGTGTGCGCCCATTTCCAGTTTGATTAAATATGCTTCCAATGTATTAAAATAAAAATATGCATGCATAACAAAATTTGGTAAATATTCAAAAACCACCAATAAAAATTGTAAGGCTAAAATGCTAAGGGATTATATTCATTAAAAACAGAGCAACATAATTTGAAAAATATTTGCATATGGAGCCAACAAACATTGAGGCTTTAATGCACAAAAAAATCCAACAATAGAATTCACTAAAAAAATGAAAATGAAAGACAAACTTATAAATATTAAATTTAAGTAAAAATAAAAATATAGACGCATAACAAAAAAATTTAAAGAAAAATATCAAAACAGTAACATTACCTCTCCCTAAATGCCAAAACTTCAGGAATATCATAGTTATTTATAAAGATCCTAGTATTGAACATGGTGTTGGAAATCCCCATCGCACCTAAATAAACCATCAAAAAAATTATATAAAACTTTCAAAATAAAATCTAAAAAAAAATACTAAAATTAATAATTAAAAATGTAAAATAAAACCTCTCCATGATTTCATCTTTGCAAATTGAATGACGAAAATAACAGATTCATTGCAGCTTTTATCAATAATTGAACACATCTCAACAGTAAAATTTTCCCAAAGAGTACAACGAAGCTTATTACCACTGTTTGAAACAAATAAGAAAAATAAATAAATTGAAAAAAATATAATGAGAAATTAATAAAAAAAAAAGAAATATTCAAATGAAAAATACCTTAAATCATCAAGTTCAAATGAAATCATATTCAAGGGAGAACCATTTTTTGTCACTTCCTTCTGCTCAATCACCACTGACAACAACCCAATAACATCTGAAAAAAAGCAAACCATTTAATGTAAAATCCAAAGTAAACCTGCAATTTAATTGAATAAATTAAGACAAATATAATGAAATTATTCTATAATAAATACACCAACTAAAAAAGCATTTTCTTGAGTTTGGTTTAAAATCTTATCAAACTCAACGAAAGAAAATGCATAATTAGGGATGTTGGAATCATTAAGCAAACTGTGAGCAGTTCTAGGATTAAAAACAGTCTTATATTTATGTGTGGTTGGCTTATAAGGATCTTAATTCAAAGAAACATCAAAATTCGAAATTATATAAACTCCTCCTTCAGTAAAAGCATCCTTACAACGCAAAGAAGCCCTAAGAGTTGCTTGAATCCTCCCCCCCTAAACAAAACATTAAAAAATGTTAGAAGTAAGAGATGTGAAAAGCAAACTTCATAATACTTATTGAAAACCAAATTCAAGAACACAAAATTCTGACCTGTTCATCCAAAAGGAGCATTTCAATATTATCACCCAGTTTTGATTGTCGAA